GACACGCGTAGTGTCTCCCACCCTTCCACCTCCTCTAACCTGATAATAACGACTAAGTATGGTGAGCAGGTAAGCTATTTGCATTTTTTTCCCCTCATCTCTGTTATCTTTCGGGGTGGTCACCGAGACGCCAAATCCTCTGGGAGCGGGTCGGAAGGCAAAGCCGGAGCCTGTTTGAGTATATAACGGAGTAAACTTACTGGTGCAGCAAACACTGCGAAACTAAAAACAAACTAATTAATTTTAAATAATTAACTAAATAGAGATGGCAGGCCAGGTGATGTGCTGCAGCTGTATGATGTGGGAGCGAGCTGATCCCATTGAGAACGGCAGTGACCACATCTGCAGCAAGTGTTGGCTGCTAGAGGAGCTCCGGCTCAAAATTGATGAGCTGGGATCCGAACTCCAAACACTGCGGCACATCCGGGAGGGGGAGAAATACCTGGATGCTGTGTTCCAGGAGGCAGTCACACCTGGTAGATTAATTAATGTTAATTCGATCAGCGGCAGGGACAGCAGTGTGTGACTGCAAGTGAGGTAGGTAGAGGGACCCTGCAGACAGGAACACAGGAGCCGCAGCCCTTGACATTGTCCCACAGGTATGAGGCACTTGCTCCCTGCGTGGATGAGGAACAGGGCTGCAGGAAGGATGAGCCAACTGACCATGGCACCGTGGTCCAGGAGGCCATTCAAGAGGGGGAGCAAAGAGACAGATTGTAGTTGTAGGGGATAGACAGTATCCTTTGCGAGCAGGATAGAGAATCCCGCATGGTGTGTTGCCTGCCTGGTGCCAGGGTGCGAGACATCTCTGACCGGCTTGAGAGAATACCAGAGAGGGAGAGGGAGCGGGAGGATCCAGTTGTTGTGGTCCACGTAGGTACCAACAACATAGGCAGGACTAGGAAAAAAGACCTGTTTCGGGATTATGAAAAGCTAGGAACAAAATTAAAAAACAGGTCTTCAAGGGTCATAATCTCTGGATTGCTGCCCGAGCCACGTGCAAATTGGCATAGGGAGGCGAGGATCAGGGGAGTAAACACGTGGCTAAAACAGTGGTGTGGGAAAGCGGGTTTCCTTTTCATGGGGCACTGGCATCAGTTCTGGGACAGGAGGGATCTATACCGCTGGGATGGACTCCACCTGAACAGGGCCGGGTCCAGTGTTCTGGCGAAAAGGGTAAATAGGGTGGTTAAAAGGACTTTAAACGAGTAAGTAGGGGAGGTGGGGTGGGGGGGAGTGAGTGTAGAGGGAGAATAACAATTAATGTAAGGCAAAGCAGCAGGTTAGCAGGTGACGAGGAAGCTTCAACTCCATTGAAAATTAGGAAAAAAGTCAAAGGGAAGGAGAACTCAAGAGCTGTTAGTAATGGAGGTGATAGGACCCAAAAAGAAGGTGCAAAAACTGGCATAAGGGCACTTAATTTGAATGCTCCGAGCATTCGAAACAAGGTGAATGAGTTGACAGTGCAAATCATGGCAAATGGGTATGATTTAATGGCCATTACAGAGACATGGTTACAGGATGGTCATGACTGGGAGTTAAATATCCAGGGGTATCAAACTGTTCAGAAGGACAGACAAGAAGGTAAGGGAGGTGGTGTTGCTCTGATTTTTAAGGATGCTATCAGGGCAGTAGTGAGAGGTGATATAGGTTCTACTGAACAAAACGTTGAATCCATTTGGGTGGAAATTAGGAATAGCAGGGAGAAGAAGTCACTGATAGGTGTGGTCTATAGGCCACCAAATAACGACATCGTGGTGGGACGGGCAATAAACATAGAAATAGCTAATGCATGTAAAAATGATACAGCAATTATCATGGGGGATTTTAATCTACATATCGATTGGTCAAACCAGGTCGGTCACGGCAGCCTTGAGGAGGGGCTCACAGAATGCATCCGCGATAATTTCCTTGAACAATATGTAATGGAACCTACGAGGGAGCAAGCTATCCGAGATCTAGTCCTGTGTAATGAGACAGGAATAATTAATGATCTCACAGTTAGGCATCCTCTCGGAAGGAACGATCACAGTATGGTCGAATTTAAAATACAGATGGAGCGTGAGAAGGTTAAATCCAATACCTATGTCCTGTGCTTAAACAAAGGAGACTATGAAGGAACGAGGAAGGAGTCATGAACCCATGACTAAGGCAAAATGGGAGCAAAAACTTTATGGTGGGTCAATTGAGGAACAGTGGAGGACTTTCAAAATGATTTTTCACAGTGCTCAGCAGAAGTGTATTCCAGTGATAAGGAAGAACTGTAGGAAAAGAGAGAGCCAGCCATGGATGTCTGAGGAAATAAAGGAAAGTATCAGATTGGGAAAAAAAACACATACAAAAAAGCAGAGTAGTGGGAAACTAGTAGACTGGGAAATCTTTAAAGGCCAACAGAAAGCCACAAAAAAAGTTATAAAGAAAAGTAAGATAGATTATGAGAGTAAACTAGCTCAGAATATAAAAACAGGCACCAAAAGTTTCTATAAATATGTAAATCGTAAAAGAGTGGCGAAGGTAAACATTGGTCCTTTAGAGGATGAGAAGGCCAATTTAATAACTGGGAATGAGGAAATAGCCGAGACATTAAACAGTTATTTCGTGTCGGTCTTCACAGTGGAAGACACAACTAACATGCCGAAAACTAGTGGCAAGAAGGTTATAGCAGGTGAGGACCTAGAAACTATCATTATCACTAAGGAGGCAGTGCTGGACAAGCTAATGGGGCTAAAGGTGGACAAGTCTCCTGGCCCTGATGAAATGCATCCCAGAGTACTAAAAGAGGTGATGGGGGAAATATAGCAAATGCACGAGTAATTATTTACCAAAATTCACTGGACTCTGGGGTGGTTCTCGCAGATTGGAAAACAGCCAATGTGACGCCACTGTTTAAAAAAGGAAGTAGACAAAAAGTAGGTAACTATAGGCCAGTTAGCTTAACTTCGGTAGTGGGGAAAATGCTTGAATCTATCATTAAGGAAGAAATAGCAAGACATCTGGATATAAATTCTCCCATTGGGAACACCCAGCATGGGTTCATGAAGGGTAGGTCATGTTTAACTAATTTGGTGGAATTCTTTGAGGACATTACTTGCGTGGTGGACAATGGGGAACCTGTGGATGTGGTGTATCTGGATTTCCAGAAGGCATTTGACAAGGTGCCACACCAAAGGCTGCTACATAAGATAAAGTTGCACGGTATTACAGGTAATGTATTGGCATGGATAGAGGATTGGTTGACCAGTAGAAAGCAAAGAGTAGGGGTAAATGGGTGTTTTTCTGGTTGGCGGTCAGTGGCTAGTGGTGTGCCTCAGGGGTCAGTGTTGGGACCTCAATTTTTTACAATTTACATAGATGATTTGGAATTGGGGACTAAGTGTGGTGTGTCAAAATTTGCAGATGACACTAAGGTGAGTGGTAGAGCAAAGTGTGCAGAAGACACTGAAAGTCTGCAGATGGATATAGATAGTCTAAGTGAGTGGGCAAAGGTCTGGCAGATGGAGTACAATGTTGATAAGTGTGAGGTCGTCCATTTTGGTAGGAATAACAACAAAATGGACTATGTTTTAAATGGTACAAAATTGCAGCACGCTGCTGTGCAAAGGGACTTGGGTGTCCTTGTGCATGAATCGCTGAAGGTGGGATTGCAGGTGCAGCAGGTGATTAAAAAGGCAAATGGAATTTTGTCTGCCATCGCTCGAGGGATGGAGTTTAAAAACAGGGAGGCTATGCTGCAGCTGTATAGGGTCCTGGTGAGGCCACACCTGGAGTACTGTGTCCAGTTTTGGTCTCTTTACTTGAGAAGAGATATACTAGCACTGGAGGGGGTGCAGAGGAGATTCACTCGGTTGATTCCAGAGTTGAGAGGGTTGGATTATGAGGAGAGACTGAGTAGGCTGGGATTATACTCATTGGAATTCAGAAGAATGAGGGGAGATCTTATAGAAACATATAAGATTATGAAGGGAATAGACAAAGTGGAGGCAGGGAGGTTGTTTCCGCTAGCAGGTGAAACTAGGACTAGAAGGCATCACTTCAAAATAAAGGGAAGCAGATGTAGGACTGAGTTCAGGAGGAACTTCTTTACCTAAAGGGTTGTGAATCTGTGGAATTCCCTGCCCAGTGAAGCGGTTGAAGCTACCTCGCTGAATGTTTTTAAGGCAAGGCTAGATAAATTTTTGAACAGTAAAGGAATTAAGGGTTATGGTGAGTGGGCGGGTAAGTGGAGCTGAGTCTCAAAGATCAGCCATGATCTTATTAAATGGTGGGGCAGGCTCGAGGGGCCAGATGGCCTACTCCTGTTCCTAGTTCTTATGCTCTTGTGACATCCAACAATCTCAATCACCTTCCTTTGTGTCAGATATGACTACATCCAGCAGAGAATTTTCTTCATTAATCTCATTGATTTTCACTTTTCCAAAGCTCCTTGATGCTGTACTGTCAAATACAGCCTCAATGTCAAGGGTAGTCATTCGCACCCCAAATCTACTATACAGCACAAGTACTGGATGATTCTTATATCAATGGATAACTCTAACAAATTAATATATAACAAGTCCCATTTACTGGATGATAAGGCAAAAGACAATTTACTTTGTTCCTTCATGGGATGTTGGTGTCGCTGGCTAAGCCAGCAGCTACTGCCGATACCTAATTGTCCTCTCCTCCCATTACCTTTTGTCCTCTTTTCAAAGGCTGTTGAGAAGATGAAGATTTTTTTGTATCCTGTTCTTCTACAGATTGTGTTTTCCTAGTTTCTAATGGCATTGTTTGTTCAGAGTCCTCAGAATCTAGCTTTTTCTTTTTCTTCATTTCTCTGGAAAATCAAAAGAAATTCATTCCATCATACCTCCTCTTCCATGTCAAACACAGTAGTGCAAGCTAACCTGGATAAGACCATGAGACCGTAAGACATATGCGCAGAAATTAGGCCATTCGGTCCATCGAGTCTGCTCTGCCATTCAATCATGGCTGATAAGTTCCTCAACCCCATTCACCTGCTTTCTCCCCATAACCCTTGATCCCTTTGATAATCATGAACCTATCTATCTCAGTCTTAAATGTACTCAATGACCTGGCCTCCACAGCCTTCTGTGACAGTGGTTAATCTATGGAATTCACTCTCTGGCTGAAGAAGTTTCTCCTTATCTCCGTTCTAAAAGGTCTTCCCTCTACTCTAAGGCTGTGCTCTCAGGTCCTAGACTCTCCTACCAATGGAAGCATCTTCCCAACATCCACTTTGTCCAGGCCATTCAGTATTTTGAAAGTTTCAATTAGATCCCCTCTCATCCTTCTAAACTCCAATGAGTATAGTCCCAGAGTCCTCAAACATTCCTCATGTTAAGCTTTCCATTCCTGGGACCATTCTCATGAACCTCCTCTGAACCCGCTCCAGGGCCAGTACGTCCTTCCTGTGATATGGGGCCCAAAACTACACACAATACTCCAAATGTGGCCTGACCAGCACTTTATAAAGCCTCTGTAGTACATTCCTGCTTTTATATTCAAGTCCTCTCAAAATAAATGCCAACATTGCATTTGCCTTCCTGATTACTGACTCAACCTGCAAGTTTACCATTGAGAGAGTCATGGACTGGAACTCCCAAGTCTCTTTGCACTTCAGACTTCTGAATTTTCTCCCCATTTAGAAAATAGTCCATGCTTTTGTTCTTCTTACCAAAGTGCATGACCTCACACTTTCCCACATTGCTAATTCAATATCAACTAAACTCACTTTCAACCAGCCATTGAACATTTGTTTAACTTAGTCAATGAATGTATCTTTTTTATTCTTCCTGTTTTAATTCCGGCTAACTAAATACAATTTCTGATCTCACTGAAAATAAAGAAACGCAAAAAAAAAAACGGCATCACGATACAAAGAAGATCCTCAAGTTAGTGCTTCAAACTGAATATATTCCTTTATGAATGAAGTCAACTGGATAACACCTGGTTTAAACAATCAGTACGATCAACAAATTTACTTAGTTCATCAGTGCTTTTTTAATGAAAACCAAACAAAATAGTTTCAAGTCATGAGATCTTATTACTAATCCCACATGACAAAAATTATGTAAGTATGGATATTCTATCAATGATGGTATAGGCACATATCAGGTAAAAGCTTTATTTTACAAAACTTCTAAATGAAACTCACTTCCTTTCTTTGACTGACAGGTGTTTCCGACCTTGGGATTTCCCGTCGACCTATAAAAGGAAACAAGCTTTTGACATTGATCTAATTGGAGTTTCCAAAGTTACAAGTGACACCCTTAAGCTCTATAACATTACAAATAAAGCACAATGTAGAACAAACTAATTATATATGTTTATCAAAAGTATAATTAAAAAGAAAATACATTGAGACACTACATAAATGTCATTAACACAGCCAGTACAAAACAAAAACATTTTAGTATATTTATTAATGAAAATGAGTCTGAGATCTGTCAGAAATATTACAATTTCTCCATTGTTAAAATATGAACTATATGCCTTCCTCGTTCCTTTCTAGAGTCCAAGTTAACTCATCTATAAAAAAGCCGTACACAGATCAAAATCTTCATCGATGTACGTCATTCAGCAAAATTGGCAAATTCAAAGAATTCTCACTCCAGGGAATGTCGTGAATGGGGCCGCTGAATTGTGAATGTACATACAATAAAGCAATGATATGGACCTGGAGTCTATACTGGGGAAGTGGGCCATGTAGTACAATTCAAAAACTGTCCTTTCATGCTGCATGTCAAAATTTGAATCTACCCAGGTCACAGGATGGAAATCTTATGTTGGTACTAAGCAAAAGGTAATGCTACATTACATCTTTAGATAACTTTCATGATCTAAAAATGCTTCTTGCTGACACTGTATTTCCACATTTGGAAACACATTAAATTCTATGGCATATATATTTGTCAACTTCATGAAAGGAAATCTAAATGATTTTCCAATTTCAAATTTATGAAGTGTTTTCAACCATTCAGTTTTGTTGGTTCCTCATTGAGTACCTGGAAAACATTTTTTAAACAATAACTTAAAATTGTGGTTGAACGTTTTCAAGCTTGCTTCAAATCTTTGAATTCGTCAAAAAAAGAGACAGGACATTTCAATTTTGACATTTGTCAGACACAATGCTATTCAGCTTATCTTTGGTTAAGTTACTTGTAACACAAAAACTAAGTGAACCACATCCCTGGAAACAAAGTAGAACACCATTTGAATTCCAGTTTGTGTAACCTATTTGAAGGAAACTACCAATTCAACGTCAGTCACCACAACAAGTATGTTTCTTCTATCAATAATACCAAACCTCAAACTTAATTCACTTAACAACCGCACAGACCATAGGGACAGATCCCAACAGACTGAGATGTATTCAAATCTAGATCCAAAGGTGAAAAATTAACATTCTAACTCATTGCAATATTCAAACACAGTAAAACTGGATTTAATAAAAAACATTATAAGCACCCTAAAGTTAAACTAAAGTCATATTTTACCCATACTTCTTCAATCAGTTCTTCTTTCGATGTGTTATGTATCTGGAAAGATCTGTTGAGAAATAAGATTTAATACAATATGTTGAATAATCAGATCTGTTTTATTATGATGACTCTTAATGATCCCATAATGGTTTGGTTATATGAAATATAGTTGCATAATTTACATTTTAAAACTTGCCATAATATTTCATTTCCGCAGTATCATTAATAAAGACTGACCACAGCATTCAATTCTGGACACCATGTTTTCTCACAAGATGATGATTTATATGAAATGTTGCCCCCTGATTATTAGTAGCTAATGTATTGAACAGGTGTCAAATTGGCATCTACGAGTTGCCTTTCTCATCAGTAAATAATAAAGGTTAGGCACTGTCAGAAATGTGATCTCAAAACTCATTCACACAGAGTAGAAATTTTGTTCATTTATCACTAAATTTACATGAAGAAATGCACAGTACATAAGCTTGCTTTATTGGTTGAGAGTGTCTTACGTCTACAATTACTGCTAATGTGCTTGCAAAGTAAGCATGCATATCTGGTGGTAGTGCAAAGCATAAGTGAATTAGTGATTGTGGCTAAAACAGTGTGACCTTAGACAAAACTGTGGGTAATCAGTAAGTGCCAGTGGATGACATTGCTCCAACTGGCAGTAAACAAAACGCCTCTAATTCCAGCACACAGAATTTAAGTATTTTAGGTAAGCAAGTTTACACTTTAAACATTAGACCATCGTTAACTGTGGGATGTGTACCAATTATTTATAGCAAAAATAAGAACAGCGGCAACAGAAGCATTTATGTGCGTATCTGATCTGGGTCATGGGCTCAACGTGTTAGCTCAATCTATCATAACTTCACCTCAGGACCTGCACATGAGAATCAAGGCTAACACTCCGATGCAGTAGTGAGGGAATACTACACTGTCAGAGGTTCAGATATGAAATGAAATCAAAGAGCTGGTATAGAACCTCTGAAAGCAGAGTTGGTTAAAACAGTTAATGTGGGTCTTTGATGAAAAAAGAATGAAAAAAAAAATCAACTGATACAGAAGGAATTTAAGGTGATTTATTTTAGTACAAGGAACTATGTTCAACATCTGCTACAAAAATAGATCAAGTCACTGCTACCATGTGTTTGTTTTCTAACTGCTTAATAAATCTGATTAGCAATTAAAGCTGAAGGCAACAAAATTTGTTTTTATACAGTACTATTAACAAAATATTCCTCAATGCCCTTCACAGGAACATTATAAAACAAAACACAACACAGGATCACATCTGGAGATATTTTGCTAGATGATCAAACATTTGATCAAAGAGATAAGTTTTGTGCAGGAGGTGGGATGTTAATGGCAAAAGGGGAGTAAGAGAGCCAGGGAGGTTTAGGGATGGGATTCCAGACTTGGGGACCAAGCAACCAAAGACGTAGCCACCAGATGTGCAGCCAGTAAAAATGTGAATGTTCAGCAAGCACCGTTAGAGAAATGTAGACATCTCAATTGTATGAAGCTGAAGAAAATTACACAGTTAGGGAGGTAGGCAAGGATATGGAGAGATAGTGTAATTATTCACCTACATTTGAAATCCATAGGATCTTATTAGGAGATGGTGCACAGCAAGTAGCTGAGATAATCTAAAAATGATTCTGTTTATTGCCTGAGCATGCTACAAAATTTACTCATGTTATAAGAATAAGTAAACATATTCTTGAAATATAAGGAGATAGAGTTTTAATCTGAGAGTAGCCTGATTCATGTGTCAAAAATAGACAAAAAAAATCCTATAATTATGGCAACCTTTATAAAACCTACAAATAGTCTAAATGAAAGTTACCTCTTTGATTGAAGATGCGACAGATCAATAGTTGTATCAGGATAACTAAATTCTACATTTTCTTCTTCATCCTGATCTGCCTCAACCTTCTGCGAATCTCCAGAATCTTTCAGATCATTGTCTTTTTCAGCTTGTTTGTCAGATTCATCTTCAGCATTGTCCTTTTGGCCCTTTGCAATCACTAGCACCTCTTTGCACTGCTTGTTATCAGCTTCTGTACTGATCTCTTTTTCATCATCACTACTGCTCTCATTGTCCTGTTGATCCTCTGCATCTCTTTGCTCCTCTTCATGCCGCTTGTTTTCAAATTCAGAACTGGTTTCTGTATCATCATCACTACTGCTCTCAGCATTGTTCTGTTGAACCTCTGCAACCCTGTGCACCTCTTTACACTGTTCATTTTCAGCTTGTGTAGAAATCTCTTTGTCATCATCACTACTGCTGTCATCATTGTCCTGTTGACCTTCTTCAATCCCCTTCATTTCTTCACACTGATTGTTTCCGACTTCTGTACCAGTCTCCTTGTCTTCATCGCTACTGCTTTCATCATTGTCTGATTGGGCTTAACAAAATAATTTTGAATTAAAAATATGCACAAGTCATAGAGCCATATATTAATGAAGACAATCACATTTTATGATGTAAGCTAAAAATTTAGACAATGAAGCACGGATAGATTAACTGCACAATTAAAACATTCAATTTACAGCAAGTCAAGTTTAACTAATATAGATTGTGTGGTTAAACAATATTCTGATGTTCTCCTCTATACCAATAAAGCAGTAAAAATTATACTCCTTTTTTGGAGTCATTCTGGAAAGATTTATAATATTATCAAAAGATAGTTTACTCGCCTTTAAGACCATAACTTTATTTCTCACTGCCTGACAACTCAATGGCTTGAATCATTGCATTTCAAAGTTATGTTTCATACTTGTTAAATGCTATGGCAGGAGCAGATTTTCAGTAAAAGAAAAGGACAAACTGGAATCATGGCCCATTTTGGGGTAGTAATGAAGCAGGAAACTGTCAACATTGGTCGTCATAATTGGTCGCTACTTTGAAACTGGGAGAAATTTTGCGAGTCTGCACATGATGGGTAAACACAGAAATCCAGAAGTTATTATTGATGATTCTATGCTTTACCAAATGATGCAGTGTTGAAGCTCCCAGTCTGCAATGGTTTATAAATTACTGAGCAAGTAAGAACTTACTTTAACACCAAAAACTCACATCAAAAACATTTGAAACAAGTGACAACTTGTTGAACAAAATGTAACTTTTTATTGATATACTAAGTTCATAATTATTACTTAATTGTATTTGAAAAACCAATTTTGAAAATCAGTTAAAGAGAAGGCGCTGGGGAAGCTGAAAAAAAAATCAATATTTTAAAATCACTTTAAATTTAAGTTTAATGTTTCCATTTCTACTTTAATTCCACATTTATGTACAAATTTTGATCTTGCTGTCTAAAGTGATGCATTAAATGATGATGATTGCCCAAGATAATATAGTTAAAACATTCTAGTATTTAAGATATAACCTACGAACTATAATCCAGATTCTTCATAAAAGTTATTAAAGTTCTGCAGAAGGAGATGCCATTGTTTCAACCAACTGCCATTTTGCAACAATAGCCTTTCTGAAAAAGTTACGTATGTGCTTTTTATTATAGTCACACAGCATATTTTTGGGCTTGTGCAGAATATTTTTAATGTATTCCTGTTAGACATATTATTCACATCATAATTCAGCGAGGGGACCAAAAATATATGGTAAATTAGGGTCAGTGAATTTTAGTTAGCTCAATTTCTATTTATCACCTGATTCATCCTTTCTCTTTCATATTTCTAAAGGTAATTCAAAGGGTAGAATTATCGAGCAGCCGGACAGTGGCTGTAAAGTTATGTATACATCACACCATGCTCATTAGAGACTTTAGAACAGATTAATGCTACTGGTATCACTCACAAAATGATGCAGAACAAATGGCAATATTTCATGGTAAAATTAGGCTATAAGATATAGATGCAGAATTAGGCCATTCGGCCCATCAAGTCTGCTCCGCCATTCAATCATGGCCAATACATTTTTCATTTTCCTGCCTTCTCCCCATAATCCTTGATCCCCTCACCAATCAAGAACCCATTTAGCAATAGATGCAAAGCTGAAAAAGCACAGCAGGTTAGACAGCATCCGAGGAGCAGGAAAGTCAGGTTTCGGCCCAAAACATTGACTTTTCTGCCCCTCGGATGCTGTCTGATCTGCTGTGCATTTCCAGTTTCACATCTATAGACTCTGGCTTCCAGCATCTGCAGTCCTTACTGTCACCAAGAACCTGTTTATCCCTGTCTTAAAGAAGCTCATTGACTTGGCCTCCACAGCCTTCTGCAGCAATGAGTTCCACAAATTAACCACACTCTGGCTGAAGAAATTCCTCCTCATCTCAGTTCTAAAAGGTTGTCCCTTCACTCCGAGGCTGTGTTCTCAGGTCCTAGTACCTCCTGCTAGGGGAAATATTTTGTCGTCATGTCCATGCTATCCAGGCCTCTCAGTATTCTGTAGGTTTCAATCAGAGTTCCCCCCTCATCTTTCTAGACTCCAACAAGAGTCTTCAAACACTCTTCATATACAAGCCCTTTATCTCCGGGATCATTCTTGTAAACCTTCTTTGGACCCCCCTCCAATACAGCACATCCTTCCTTAGATACAGGGCTCAAAACTGCTCACAACATTCCAAATGTTATCTGACCAGAGCCTTATCCAGCAGTACATTTCTGCTCTTGTATTCTAGCCCTCTTGAAATGAATGCTAACATTACATTTGCCTTCCTAAACTGTCAGCTATAGCTGCATGTTAAGGTTAAGAGAATCCTGAACTAGGAATCCCAAGTCCCTTCGTGCTTCAGATTTCCAAAACCTTTCCGAGTTTAGAAAATAGTCTACGCCTCTATTCTTTCCAAAGTACACAACCTCACATTCTATCTGCCACTTCTTTGTCCACTCTCCTAGCCTCTCCTACCCCTCTTCCTCCACACTACTGCCTCCTACCTATCTTTGTGTCATTTGCAAACTTAGCAACAATGCCCTTAGTTCCTTTGTCCAGGTTGTCCAGTGTATAGTTGTGGTCCCAACATTGACCTCTGTGAAACTTCACAAATCACTGACTGCCATCCCGAAGAAAACCCTTTAATCCTCACTGTCTGCCTTCTATCAGTCAGCCAATCATCTATCCGTGTCAGTACCTTGCCCCTAATGGGCTCTTATCTTATTTAGCAGCCTTCTGTGCAGTACCTTGACAAGGCTTTCTGGAAATCCAAATAGATCACGTCCACTAGCTCTCCTCTGTCTAACTTCCTTGTTAGCTCCTCAAATAATGCTAACAGATTTATCAGGCATGACCTCCCCTTGACAAAGCTGTGCTTGCTGAGCCCTACTTTACCATGCACTTCTAAGTACTCCTCAATTTATAAAAAGGACTCTTAAAATCTTACCAACAACTGAGGTCAGGCTAATGGGCTTTTAGTTTCCTGTCTTTTGCCTCCACCCCTTCTTACACAGGGGTTTATATTTGCTATTTGCCAGTTCTCTGACTCCAGTGATTCCTGAAAGATTACCACCAATGCCTCCATAATCTCCTCAGCTATCTATTCCAGAACACTGAGGTGTAGTCCATCTGATCTGGGGAATTTATCTGCCTTCAGACCTTTCAGTTTCCCCAGCACCTTCTCCTTAACAATGGTACCTACACTCACACCTCTGCCCCCGACTTTCAAAGTTCTGGTATGCCAGTGTTTTCCACTGTGGAAACTGATAGAAAGTACCTAAACAGTTCTTCCACCATTTCTTTGCTCCCCATTATTACTTCTCCAGCCTCATTTTCCCGCTGTCCAATGTCAACACTTGCCTCTTACCTTTGAGATCTTAAAAAAAAAAACTTTTTCCACCTTCTTTCATGTTGCTAGCTAGCTTACTCTCATATTTCATGTTCTCCTGCCTTATTGCTTTTTTCAAAAAAAGTTATTCTCTGCTGTATTTTAAAGGCTTCCCAATCTTCTAGCTTCCCACTAATCATCATCACATTGTATACTTTTTAACTTTTTCTTTTATACTGTCCCTGACTTCCCTTGTCAGCCACGGTTGCTTCATCCTCCCCACAGTAGGTTTCTTCTTCCCTGGGATGAATTTTTTATGAATGCAATTTTAAGAAGGCTCAACTGAACAAATAAATTTTGAAAACTTTTCAGAATGTTGCGTCATATAATTTTATGAATCAACTTTCTTCATTACCTAAAGGTACAGTATCCTCAGAAAATAGTTCCGATGTGCTGCTAGTTACTGTTTCCATGTCTTCATCTTGCACTTTTACCTTCCGTTCACCTATGTGCCTGCACATAAATTGTTCATCAACCTAAGCACAAAAAAACTCCTTGAAATGTAGTTAGGAAGTAATAAATTATCAAGCAAGATGCTTGCAAATGTTCTCTTCTTGAATATTTTTCAGTACAAGTACAAATTTCCACAAAAAAAATCAACAAGTGTGAGGTGATGCATTTTGGGAGGTCAAATGGAAGAGATAAGTATACTGAAATGGATGGACACTTAACAGCATTGATATACAGGTGGATTTTGTGGTCCAAATGTAAAGCTCCCTGAAAGTGAGAACAAAATGGATAAATTGATAAAGACGGCATATGGCATGCTTTTTTCATCGGTCAGGGCATTGAGTATAAAAGTTGGCAAGTCACTTCGCAACTGAGCAAGACTTTGGTCAGGCCACATTTGGAGTAGTGTGCACATCTGGTTGCCACACTTTAGGAAGGATGTAGAGGCTTTGGGAAGGTACAGGATATTGCTTGGATTGGAGTGTTATTAGCTATAAGGAGAGGTTTGACAAACTTGGGGTTGTTTTTGTTACAGCGCTGGAGGCCGAGGGGCGAACAAACAGAAGTATATAGAATTATGAGAGAAATGGATAGGGTGGATAGTCAAGAGTCTCTTGCCCAGGGTGAAAATGTCAAAACTAGGGGGCATAAGGTTAGAGGAGGTAAGTTTAAAGGAGACGGCAAGGTTAAGTTTTTCCTTAAACACAGGGGATGGTAGGTCCACAGAAGGTGGTAGAAGTGGTTCCAATAGCAGATATTAAGAGGCATTTAAATGGACAGATGAACAGGCAGAGAATAGTGATTTATGGACCACGTCCAGGGAGCAGTTTAGACATGTGGCCGAAGGGCCTGTTCCTGTGCTGTGTTGTTTTATTTTCATGTTCTATGTAAACAATCCTAATAAGTTGGCTAATTTATAAATTAAGAAATAAGTTGAAAATGAGAATTAGTTTGCAAAGTGAATTCACATAACAGCAAAAAAAAAAGTTCTTTCTAGTGGCTGCAAGAATTCTACATCTGATTTAAAGACAACCTCATACCACTCCTATTAGGCTTGACTTGTACAACAAAACTACCCCTCATATGACGCTAATTGAAATTTCACTCCAGAAAGGCTACATGTTGTGGAAATAAAAAAATTCATACTAGTTTAAAATGGAATGGTTTTCTAGAAGTTGGAGCTAAATCACAAGACTAAAGACAGTTTAACTAAAGTAATTGGGGACAAAAAAAAACTAAGTATAACAAGTCATCAACGTTAACAGGTCCAGTTCATCTCTTTCCATCCAAGAAAGATGATGGACACACAGCAAACAAATCTATTTATTTGGGGTGTTCATTTGGCACATCTTCGCTGATAGTTGAAGAAGCCAATCTCAGAGCCGGATTCTATAACAACTGAAGTTACCAAATACAAGTGGATTGTTTTTGGTATTGGTGTCTGTTACCAAGCCGGTGTAGCCAGTGGACATCACTGAGCAGCCAGTTCACAGAAGATGTTCTCATTTTCCTCTGTCGTTGGCTATTGACTCCCAGGTGCAACAGTCAATACCAAGGAGCTTTCATGTCACACTTAGAAGTATCCTTGAACAGATTTTTGGGCATCCTACTAGTTTTCTGGCTTTGGCTCTGGCTGCTTCAACTTTCAGAAACCCCCTTGGAAGTGTCTGCAGCAACAAAGCCAGCTCTATTTGAGGGCTATTGGGAGCTCGGAGTTTGAGGGAACTACCATTTCATGACTTTATCCTGTTTGCATATTCCCATAACACACCACAGACTCCAAACAGTAAAACTGCCGAGTTTCTTTTCTCAACAGCTGTAAATCATAAGTGTTTCACATCCATATAGCAAGGTGCTGAGAACCAGGTTTATTAACAATCAGCTTGGCCTGAATGGTCAGCTTGTTGCTATTCCATGTGTGTTTACGTAATGTCCTAAGTAGAAGGGCAACGGTTTCAAAAGATGTTAAAAAGACATACAGGATGCTAGGCTTCATAAATAGATGCAGTATGCACAAAAACAAGAAAGTTATGATGAAATGTTGCAACTGCAGAAGGTTGTACAGTTCTGGCTAACCAAGGCAGGATGTGATGGTTTTAGAGAGAGTTCAGAAAAGATTTACAAAAATGATTCCATAGATGACCAGCTTTAATTATGTGAATAGATTGCAAAAGGTGGAATTTATTTTTTTGCCTTAGGGAAGGATATCAGTGTATTTGATGGAAGTGTTAAAATCAGGAGAGATCCAGTCAAGACAGGAAATAAATGCTGGTCCAACCAGTTAGGCCCAGATCCTATTACTGAATTGAAAAAAAGGTGGAAAGAGAGAAACTATTGCTGTAAATGTTGAGGACCAGAAGATACAATGTAAGGTAAGTGGCACAAGAACCAAAGGCAATATGAGGAAAAACATTTTTACACTGAGTGGTTAGGATCTGGAATACACTTCATGCAAGTCTGGTGGAGGCAGTTTTAACTCTAGCCTTCAAGAAGGTAACTTAATATCCACTTGAACAGGAAATAAAATACAGGCCTTACAGAGAAAGGGAACAGAAACAGAATTAGCCGAGTTATTCTTACAAAGAACCAGTACAGACAGAACAGGTCAAATGGCTTGCTACCATACTGTAACTATTCTATAACTGGGCCCACTCCATTCAGTTTCCAGTTAGTGCAAGAAGAATTGGAGGGCAGGGCTGTGTCTGAACAAACACCTTGCATTCCCAGACAGGCCGCACATCATAGGAATTCCAGCTCCTATATTAAATGACACTGTAAAAATACATTCCTTGCAAAGTGACTTACTATTACACTTCAGCACAACCACCATAGTTAAGGTGCCAAAGTGTGTTAGATTTTTTCAGTTTTCTTCTTTTTCCACCCTAAATTTCTAGAAAATATTAATACATTACCTTAAACAAAAAGCCAAATCCCATCATAAGATAAGAAGGCGGAAGATAGTTCTTTTTACCTGGAAGCACAAAGTAATGGTACAAACATTATTTTGGAGATCAAGTACTAACTAATAATAACAACACACATCTGCAAAGCATTACACAACCAAATCAGATAAAGAAAATCATGCAAATTATCATCATGCTGAAGACTTTTTCTTCGTCTTCAAACCTTTCCACATTGAATTAATAAAATTATTTTAGCAAAATCAAAATAATTTGTAACCTACCTGGCCTTCTAACTTTATATGACTATCTGGGAGAGGAATCAATATCTTTACAAAAAGCATTCTCTTAAATAAATTAAAATTTACAGTTAAAAATGATTTGTGGTAGAAAATCTTAACAGATTGAAAATCAAAAGTAATGGGAATATCATATTAGTAATCAAAATGTCAAATTATCAAGCTACTAATCAAGGTGAATATCAGTAACATTCTACTTACCTCTGATCATGAAACTTCCTGTGGTCAGGTATTCTCCTGTAGGTGCCGTTTTTGATACCTGAAGGTTTAAAGGTAGCACATTTATGAACATCATTTCTACATTTGCTTATGGTCACTTTGAAACCAGGTGTAAATAAAACAATGTGGTACCACCAACTAGTGTCAGATAATATGGAACAAGCAGCTCAACATCTGCAGTTTGGCTGTCAAACCTTTCTGACTACATCCAGATCACAGAACGATGATGTAAAGATCAAGGCCAGGACATTTTTTCTCCCCCCAATCAAAAAAACACCTACAAAAAGATTGATATGAAATGTCATCCAGATGAAACGTCACGCTGAATTTAGAAATGGCCAGATTGGCAACGTAAATCATTATGCATGACCCTGAGGAATTTATCATTTCTGCTAGCTTCAAAATTACTATTTGCAGTGCCACATCAGTGTGAGAAAACATTTTGCTGATCTGTTTTAATTGGGCAATCCCTTAGTTGCAAACAGGGGCCAATCTAGGTACGAGATCGAGAACTGACATGACCTAGACTAGGGGTAAGAACTTGAAAAAAACCAGGCATACAGGTCTAAATGTCTTTATCTCAGCTGATGTAGTGAAGTTAGCGTGAGTCCGAGATCAGATCTTATAGGCTGAACAAAACCTACTTTTCCTCCTTCACAAATTAGCTCTAAATAAGTGGTTAAAAAAAAAAAAAAAAATTTGCTTTAACATAGGAAGCCCAAGCCACAGAAGAGCGGTTTGATGGGTTGGGAAGGGAATGAGGATTGTAAAAGAGAAATAACTTGGTGTTTACCATCATAGAGGGTAGGAGGCCTGTTCACAGCTGCACTTACCCAAACAAGTAGTTACCAATCATTGCTACGTAGTTGTGTGAAAGTGTCCAGCAGAATCCAGGCACTTGAGCACAGGAAGAGAATAACTTCTTTTGAGAAAAAAAATGATTTTTCTCAGAGAGTCGATAGGATTTAGAATTTGCTTCCTGGGAGCATGCTGGAGGTGGACTCCATACAAGGTTTTTCAAAAAAAAAAAAAGAGCTGGATATATATTTGAAAGTGATGAATTTAGAGGACTATGGATATAGGGCTGGAGAGCAGGACTAGCTGGATTGCTCTTTCAGCAGACGGTACAGACATATTGGGTCGAATGGCCCCTTCTGTACTGTAAAATTCTGTGACTCTATAGAAGGAAAGTAATTTGATTGAACCTTCCAGTGAACAGCCGTTCCTGATCCAGCAGTGCTGATACTGTTGGGAATAAAATGTGACACACAAACTGGACTGAAAGGGAAAATACTTGATAACATACTTTAAAAAGCATTGTAAAACTATGTAGCAGTAGATAATCAGAATAATAAGTTTAAATAATTTTACCTTTACATAAGGACATAAGAACTAGGGGCAGGAGTAGGCAATTCAGTCCCAAGTCTGCTCCGTCACTCAATTCCATCATGGCTGATGTCATTTTGGCCTTAACTCCACTTTCCTGCCCACTCTCCATAACCCTTAATCCTGTTACTGATTAAAAATCTATCTCCTCCTTAAATTTACTCATCCACGTTCCATCATCCACTGTGTTGTGAGGTAGTCAATTTGACAGATTTGTGACCCTTTGATAGAATTAATCTCTAGTCCCTAATCTCTAATTTAAATCAATGTGGTCTACTGACTGTTGAAATGGCCGATACCTCTGTGACATTTCAGTTAGGCCACAGGACCATGCACCCTGACCATTAGACAGCTGGTTGACGAGATTAGACTGGACGATAGGACAGGAATAGCTGACAAAGTAGACAGCTGACTAAAATTTTAGACTAAAATATTAAACTAAAATGACAGCACATGATGTGGCCTAGGGAGTGACCACACTAGAAAGGGTGGTGAAGATAAATGGCTGATGATTGCTAGTCAAGTTGTTTATTTCTGTGTATTAAAAGCTGTAACTCATGCTCAGAGTGAGTTCTGTATTCCTGTGAGTCTACCTAGAACTCCTTGCTTTTACTGGTAACTGTTTGTAATAAACCGCTCGATTAGCTTAAATGAACTCCTCTGCCTCAGAGTTATTACTGCCTCCGAGAAGGTCGCTCTTATACACTCTCACTCTTCAAAAGACAAACCCCTCAACTCTGGAATCTAGTCAATGTCCTCTGAACTGCCTCCAATGCAACAACATCTCTCCAAGTACAGAGACCAAAATTGCATGCAATATTCCAGGTGCAGTCTCACTAAAGGTCACTGTACCTGAAAAGCTGATTTTTTTCTTCACAGATGCTGCACATCTGCTGAGCTTTTCCAGCAACTTCTGTTTTTGTTGCAGTCTCACTAATACCTAGTATAGTTGCAGCAACAACTGTACTCCTTTAGCAATAAATGTCACAAATCCATTTGCCTTCCTTATTACCTACAGTACTGGCATACTAGTTCTCTGTGATTTGTGTACAAGGATACCCAGATCCCTGAGCACTGAAGCACTCTCTGAAGTTTCTCTCCGTTTAGAAATAGTTGCCTTTCTATTCTGCTGACCAAAATGGAAAACCACACACTTATCCACATTAAACCTCTTCTGCCAAATGTTGGCCCATTCACCTAACTTATCCCTATCCATTTGTAAATCTGTATTTTTATCTTTATTGCTACTTACTTTCCCACGTCTTTTACTATTACCTGCAAATTTGGCTTATAGTACCTTTCATTTTCACATTCAAGTAATTAACACGGATCTGTAAATAGTTGGGGCACAAGGACTGATCCCTGTGGCACCCCACTACATACATCTTGCCAACGAAAGAAATCATTTATCCCAACTCTCTGCTTTAATTGGTTAGCCAGTCGTCTATCCAATCTTATAAATTACACCCAACCCCCATGTGATCTTAACACATTGACATTTGCTTTTCTTTTTGCTAATATTGCTTATTGATTATTCGACCATTACTACCTACAAATCCTAACTAAACCAGGACCACTGCAAAATTTATAAAATAAAAATGCATAGATAATTTTCAAATATTTGTTTTGAACAGAATGTATTATCAATTAAATCTTATTTTGATTCAATAATAAATATCTTTACTGACATATGGTAGATTTTTATGTTCACCACAGGACCAGAATTTAGCATAAATGAATTGTCCATTCAACTTTTATCCCATCTATTTCAATAGGTAGGCAATCCACGCTGCCAGATTACTGACTAGCGAAAAGGAAAAGCAGCCCCACATATTTAGAATACTGTGTCAGCCACGTTGCACATTAAATCACAATATCGCTTCAGTCAGGAGGTTGAGAGTTCACGTTCCACTCCAGACGGTTTATGCACTGAAGGAATGTAGTACTGCCGAAATCATTCTCAAATTACATGTTAAAGTGAGGCCCATCTCAAGCGAATGTAAAAGATCACTATTTGAAGAGGAGTAGGGGAATTCTCCTCAATTAGAAGGTCAATATTTATGGTTCAAACAACATTACTGGACACTAACACATTGTTGTTTGTGTGTTCTTCCTATATGCATATCAGATGCTGAGTTTTCCACAACACTTCAAATGTGATCCATTGGCTGTGAAATTTTGGACCTCCAGAGGCAAGAAAGTACATCTTTCTTTTGTAGTCAAAAGATTAGCAATCTACTTTGACAAGAGAGGTTTCATGTGAGGACTTCCACAGTGTAATAGTGCAGAAAATAAAAGCCATGGTGGCTAATTACCTGGTTATGATAGACCCACCAAGCACTAGTAATTACACGTGCTTCCCAGGCAGCACTGTAACAAACTGCCATTGTGCCAGCTTCAGTCAAGGTACGTGGTGGAATTGGTTCACCTGTTTGTAAAGAAGAATTTCAATAAAATTGTTCATGTAAAGAAGCTTGGAAATCAATTTGCAACATTAAACAGTAAATGAATTGACCTTTTGGGTTCTTGATGACACAGCTGGTGGCACCGTGGAGATCAGCATGTACATAAATATCACCTAAAAGACAAAATTCAAAATGAACAAGAACCATGATAAAGAACAAAACAAAAATAATGCTACAACTGGCCTCAGTATTCCAAGGTTCAGGAAAAACAGTGAAAATGGTTACAGTTCCTACTCATCACCAGCGGGCCAGTGATCTACGTATGTGTGGTCATTTAAAAAGGATACAGCTTAGTTTTAATGCATTTTGGTTTTGAATAATTCATCAACACTTTTGACCCACAGGAATAATACAGGAAGGAGATAGGTAGAGGAAATATGTACAACCACTTGATAAATCCAGGATTATACAGATTTCCCAGAAATATGTACAGGTCCATAGTTAATTTCCTGGATCCCCAGGAGACTTGTACATGCCCATGGAAATTACAGTAGGTTCAGATTATCAGTTCTGAACAAGAAGTTAATGTTTTCAAAATAAGTCAAGCATGGTGAGAAAAATACTCGTCACAAAGCAGATGAAATACAAAGATCAGAATGCATTGCTTTAGTTCTACAGAGCAAGAACTGTCTAGAGTACTGCATTCCTGTCTGGGCACCAAACCTCAAAAACCTCAATCGCAGAATGATTCATAATTCACCAGAATGATACCAGAACTTTTTTAAAAAAAAAAGTTTTGAACACAGTTTACATGAATTTGATTTTAAAATATTACTCTTTTTCCTTCCAGTTTTGAAGTTTGAGGAATGATCTAAGAAAAATCTTAAATGATAAAATGATTCAATAAAGAATGTGTCACGAAGACTTCACCTTTCCTAATTTCAGTGGACTTGAGTTTTTAAAAAAAGCAATCAATAAAAGCCCAGCTTTCCTGTTCCTGAACAGTACTGGAACACTGCTCCAGCCTTCATCCGGATTCTCCTCCTGAAAAATGTCTGGAAGGTTGGCTGTGATTCAATGGATTGGCAGATCACATTCAATGGTTTGAATCGACTTCTACTCCATTGCTCAGATGTTGTAAAAGACTCAAATGCTAATGCAGTTGTTAAAGATAACAATATTCGTGTAAACGTTGAGTTGCAGTGGCCAGATGTTTAGGAAAACAGTAGGAAGTTGACTTATAGGGGTAATATTTGACTGGTGATAGATCAACTTATATGAGGAATATTTGAAGGTGGAAATCCACCCGCTCAGCTAACTATCTATTTTTGGTCACCAAATCAACTGATCACAAAGGTGACAGGTCAGAAACTGTCCCTACTAACTCCATCCCAAAGATGGCAGGAATGGAATCAAGAAGTATTTCTATTTTGAATTTTCATTGAGAGTCAGCCATTGTTGAGGTCAGTTGGCTCGCTGAGCTGGTTTGTTGTTCCGCAGACGTTTCATTACCCTGCTGGGTAACATCATCAGTGCAGCCTCCGATGACACGTGGTGTGTTTTCCCGCCTGGTTTTTAAACTCTGGAGTCCGTCGAGCTGGATTGCCTCATTTCTGGTTTTCCATTAGGTTAGTCAGCCATTAGGTTTTGTATACTAAATTCATTAAATTTCTCAAATTCAAAATCAAGAGGCATATAAAATTATACAATTTCAATTTTCATCACAGTACAGAAAAGAACACTACTTATTTGTAGAACATGCATTAAAATTCATAGAAATTATTTTCAACCCCTCATCTTCAGGACCAAATATCCAATCTGCATCTTGCATTATTACGTCAGACAGATCAACATCATCTTCAATAGCAGTCATGTCATGTCATCAGCCATATTAATCCACAAATAATCATCTGTACTATCAAGTATACTGAATGTCCGATATTTCTTGAACAATTTGATGATAATCTCGGCTCTGATTTTATCCACGTCCTCCACACCCCATGCAAAAAAGGTTGCTAATGTCAGAGCTCATACGCTGCAGCCCTTGGTGAATGTCATCTCTTCTCCAACAACCCGATCATTCCACTTTTTCTTCACTTTCTCTCTGAACAACTCCTTTGAAAAGGCATTCAATGATCTAATGGGCTGACCAGCCATATTCAAAGTCACAGCAATATCACTGCTGTTGAAGTTAGATTGCAAAACATCAACAAGGTGTGATCTGAACATATCTCCAATAAGAAGCGTTTTCTTTGTATAATCCTATAGTCAGAAAATTTAAGCTCTCCTCAGCCATATTTTCAAGCTGCGTTCATCCATCCATCCTTTATCATGTATGTTGAAGATTACTCCTTTTGAGAAATACTGTTTTTTCTCTTGTGTACAATGGCAACAGTACAATGGTGAATTTAATCCTTTCATGTTGCTTTCCATAACAGTTTTATTTCCAACTTTGGTCACTGTTTAATTGACTGACATGTCAAAACTCAACAATGTTCCAAATACAGGCCAATTTGTATCCATTTTTCTGATATGCTGAAATTCAATAAGTCTACTGTCAAGTTCTGCCGGAAGATGCTATGAAATCTTGATTTTTGTCCCTGTACAAAATGTTTCTCTTCATAAGACCAGGTACACCATCCAGGACTAACTTTGAGATCCTCAATGCCCAACGTTTTTTACTTTTTCCAGGGAAAATTCAGATAAATCCACAAGAAACTGAGCATGCATTCTGGTGATTTTTATGGACCTATTTTGCGACTTCATTTTTTAACTGCAGTCATAAGCTAGGCTTTCCTGTATTTGCCCATTTATTCTTGGGCACCTAACTGGAAGATGACTTCCAACCTTTAATGCTCTGATATCTTAAATTACCTAGATGCTATATAAATATTAGTCATCTCTGGGATGTATGTTATTTCAGCTTAATATTATATGGTCATATTAAAAAGGGAAGGTTTGGCAGGAACGCAGAACACACCAATGAGAACTTATGTGATATATGAAACGGTAAGGATTTTTGGTCAAACATTTGTGCAAGATTTTACACAAGATCAACTGTTACTTGAAAATATATGGCACTTAAGTTCCTATTAAGAAAAGTCAGCTGTGGTAGAATTATTGTAAGCAACCCCTACTAAAGTAAATGCTAATTAATAGCAATTTTTTATTTTAATAAAGAATTGTTATTTGCAAATGTACTATTTGGGAAACTACAGAAATAGAGAAATTTGCCAAGAAGCCCAAAGCATTCCCACTGCCCATGAACTATATTCTGCTAGTCATGCCAGTGACATCATTCCATCCCATGCGCTCATATTTACTGTGTTTATTTGGGCGCCGCCTTGGTTTTTTTCCCCCACTGGCAGAGCATTTCACAAACTGCACAGGAACAGAATTATGCTCAAGAACATTCTGGAGTTATCAAGAGACTCAGCCATGGAAATAATTTCTCTGCAGTTTTTTTTAAACGTGGTTCACATCTCCTAAGTAACTAACAATTTATGTGGGGAGTGAATTCCTACCCTTGCCCAGGCCCTTTCTTTGCACAGGTTGCACATAAATAACTCTCATAATATTTTAGATACTAATACTTTTCAGTGGAGTAAATAGGCACTACTTTAATTTGCCAGTCCCTCCCTGGCAGAGACTAAGCCACAATTCACAACCTGGTTTCCTGTTTGATCCGGAGAGGAATTTCCAGCCCAATAACCTGCTCTGTAACTGTGACAGCCGGTGTCCAAACAATTCATTAATTCCAGGAGTTAAACCTCCCACCAAGCCATTTACTTTTGATTGTGTTCTTGTCTCTACCCGTTTTAACTTATCCACACTTTGTTGTATCTAGATTTCATTAAATACGCTTAAATTCATTTGAAACTCTACTGTCCAAATTCTGACTCTTGCCAAGCTTCATTCAGACATTAATCTGCTCAATGGCCTACAATGACTGCTGGCTCAGCAACATCCTGATTTTACAATTCTCAACTGTGTGTTCAAATCCCACTGTGACCCCAAACTCCCAATTTCTAGCATCCTCAGCTGTACAACCTTCCTAGTTCTTGTCATACACAGTCATACAGCATGGAAGCAGACCCTTTGGTCCAACTCATCCATGCTGACCATGTTTCCCAAACTAAATTAAATTTCTATTTGTGTGTTTGGCCCATACCTCTCTAAACCTTTCCTAATCATGTACCTGTCCAAATGTCTTTTAAGTATTGTAACTCTACTTGCGTCTGCCACTTCCTCCGGCAGTTCATTCCACATACAAATTGATTGATTGTCACATGTACCAAAATACAGTGAAAATCTTTGTTTACAAGCCATACAGGAAGATCACAGTAAGTGAAGGATGTATATATCAAGACTTAGAGGCATACAGGTTCTATTGCACAGGGCGTGCGCTAGGCGAGATCGACATTAGCAAGATCAGCGTTATTGGAGGCTAGAGAGTCCATTCATCAATCTGATAACAGCCAGGTAGCAGCTGTTCCTGAACTTGCTTGTGCGTGTTCAGACTTTTGAACATTCTGCCTGATGGAAGAGGTTGAAGGAAATCATTACCAGGGTGTGATGGGTCTTTGAAGACGTTGGCAGCCTTTCCACGGCAGCGAGCCATGTAAATGGAGTCCATGCATGGAAGGTTGACTTCCGTGATGGTCTGGGCTGTGCACACCACCTTCTGTAGTTTCTTATGGTCTTGGGCACAGCAGTTGCCATACCAGGCCCTTATGCACCCAACAGAAGGTTTTAAATGGTGCATCTGTAGAAGTTGGCGAGGGACCTTATGGCCATGCCAAATTTCCGGAGCTGCCCGAGAAAAAGGAGATGTTGTTGTGCCATCTAGACTGTCGCATCTACGTGGGAAGTCCAGGACAGGTTGTCAGTTATTGTCACTCCGAGGAACTTGATGCTCTTCACCCACTCAACCTCAGTTCCATTGATATAGATGGGGGTGTGTTCACCTCCTTTCTTTCTGAAGTCAAAAATCAGTTCTTTAGTTCTGCCGACATTGAGAGACAGATTGTTTTCATTGCACAACATCACCAAGTCCTATATCTCCCTTCTGTGGTTTGACGCGTAATTGTTAAGATATCCGCCCCACTATGGTGGTGTTGTCAGCAAACTTGTAGATGGCATTCGTTCGGAATTTGGCAACACAGTCGTAGAT